CAGCAGGGAGCCCAAGGTAGGAACTTAGGACAGGAACCTGGAGGCAGGAGCTGGAGCACAGGCCATGAAAGAATGCTGCTTACTGGCTTGCTCTCCTGGCCCCCGCTCAACCTGCTTTCTTATACAACATAGGCCCACCTGCCCAGGGGCGGCACCACCCACAGTGGGCTGGGCCCTCCCACACCACTCAACAATCAAGAAGGTGCCCATGGACATGGCCACAGGCCAGTCCAATGAAAGCAATTCCCAATTGAGGCTCCCTCAAGCCAGGTGTGTCAAGTTGACACCAGAGCTATCCAGCACATCCTCCTACAGGTAACCTACAGGTTACCAACATGGTCAATGGTGCTAGTGTGCTGGGCAGCATTGTGCCACTGAGCTATCTCCCATCACATCCCTGTTCTCTCATAGTCCATAGTAGGGAATGCACTGTCTTGATGGGACACATACATGCCCAAGTTTTCTGTCCACTTTCTTTCATTCTTCATTTCTCTGTCTATCCCAGTCATTGCTGGGAAGGACTAGGGTGGCAGCACCATGCCTCAGCCTCTGGCACTTGGCTTGTGCTTAAGCCTACTGTCCTTCCTCTCCTCTAGGGTGATGAGGGCGGAGAACGGGTGCTGCAGCAGCGCTGGACCTCCTTCCTCAAGGCCCAGTTGCTCTGCTCACGGCCTGATGACGGCTTTCCTTTTAATGTGGTACAAGATGTCTTCACCCTGAGCCCCAGCCCTCAAGACTGGCACAATACCCTTTTCTATGGGGTCTTCACTTCCCAGTGGTAAGATACCCAGGATTAGCTGGTGATAGGAGGGTAAAGAGTGGCTAGACTCCACTGGCTGCATCTTGAGCCCAAATTCTTGACTCAGAATTGATTTGGCTATTTCCTTTGCAGGCACAGGGGGACCACAGAGGGCTCTGCTATCTGTGTCTTTACCATGAAGGAGGTACAGCAGGCCTTTAATGGCCTATACAAGAAAGTGAACCGAGAGACACAGCAGTGGTACACTGAGACCCACCCAGCACCCATGCCCCGACCTGGAGCGGTAGGTATCAGCTTCATGCACTCAGAACAGGTTCTGGGCAGGCTTGGTCCTTATACCATGCTGAGACCATACTAAGACAAACTGCTTAGCTTGAGTCTATGACATGGGGCATAATAAGCCCACGCCTGCTGTGTTACTTAGATGTGATCATGAATGATGAAACACCTTTAGTCCTGTCCTATCAGCCTGGGCAGGTGTGTCTCCATCAAGGGACTTCCTATATATTATTGTGGGGATTTGTTGTTGTTTGTTTCCAAGGTAGGATCTAATGTAACCCAGGCTAACCTTGAACTTTGATCTTCCTATTTCTACCTCTATACAATGTTGTTATTGTTCCTTTACTCTGTCCATTCCTTGACTCAGCCAAGTACTCCTTATTTAATTACCAGGCGACTTGGTTTCCAGGCCACAGGGAACAGTCCTTTCTTGCTGGCTTATAGCCTAATGGACTCCCCCACAAGGAGACTTTGACACCAGGATATGAGTGTCAACAGTTTGTGAGGTGGTGCTCAGAAACAGTGAGAGGGAATTGACAGGTGCAAGGGGGAGGCTGAGAAGGGGTGTGTCAGTGAGCTTTAACCACTGTGGGCAGCTGGGTCTGGGTTTGCCAGGGCCCCACAGGAAGGTGTGGAACCCATCTCAGACTTGATCAGCTAGAGGTGTTGTCCTGTGTTTCATTAGTAGAGCGTCACTGGGGTCTGTTAACTCATATACAGAGAAACAATGGGGAAAGAAACAGGACCCAGGGAGGTATGGGAACTGGCTGTGGTTGGCTATATGGGGATATTATTCATCTCGAGCTGAGAACTCTGGAGAAAGATGTTAGAGGGGCAGGAAAAGTGGTCCCACTTTTTGAGGCCTATGTGCAGAAGTGGTGAGGAGCAGGGAGGAGGCCAGTAGGAAACCCACCAGACCCAACACCTCAGGTTTACTCTTGGGCTTTGAGGCTGGTCCACCAGCACTATACAAAAAGGCAGGAGATGAGCCATGGCATGGTAGGTGGGGAACAAGCCTTGCTGCTCTCTTCTGTGGAGGCAGGCTCCCACTCTGATCCCTGTTGCTTATACCTCTGCCTTTTTCAGTGCATCACCAACACTGCCCGAGAAAGAAAGATCAACTCATCCCTGCAGCTCCCAGACCGAGTGCTGAACTTCCTCAAGGACCACTTCCTGATGGATGGGCAGGTCCGAAGCCGCATGTTGTTGCTGCAGCCACAAGCCCGCTACCAACGTGTGGCTGTGCACCGTGTGCCTGGCCTGCACGGCACCTCCTATGATGTCCTCTTCCTGGGGACTGGTGAGTGCTTGTAGCCCAGCAGAACTGGATTAGGGAGGAGGGAGATAATGGCTGGTGGATCCTAGACAGTCAGCTCTACCAAGGGCCTGGGACATGTCCATGCTCCAGGTGATGGCCGGCTGCACAAAGCAGTGGACGTAGGCTCCAGGGTGCACATCATCGAGGAGCTCCAGGTCTTCCCTCAAGGGCAGCCTGTGCAGAACCTGCTCTTGGACAGTCTCGGGGTGAGTGGGACAGGAATCATAGGAATGACCTTCTGTTGTCACCAGGCAGTCCCCTACCCAGCTCTTCCTCCCATGCCTGAGCAAAATGTAAACTTATGGAACCCAGATTTGTGGTAGTAAGAAAGTGGCGGGGGCGGGGGGGGGCAGAGCACAAAATATGTTAGAGGCCCGTAGGGTGGCTGTAGTGCATGTGAGGCCAGTGTGGCTATGAGTGATAGGATACACATGCCCAACACTCATCCTCCCTGTCTGGCTGTGCAGGGGCTGTTGTATGCCTCCTCCCATTCCGGCATAGTGCAGGTGCCTGTGGCCAATTGCAGCCTTTATCCAAGCTGTGGAGATTGCCTCCTTGCCAGAGACCCCTACTGCGCCTGGAGTGGTTCTAGTTGCAGACTCGTCAGCCTCTACCAGCCTGAGTTGGCTTCCAGGTGAGAGCTTCCAGAGGCCTCTGACCCTTCATCATCCCTAAATATCTTCCTCAAAAGAAAATACGGTAGGCAGGACATGGTGCACATGATTGTATCCCAGCACTCAGGAAGTAGAGGCAGAAGGATGAGGTAGGTGTTCAAGGTCATCTCCTCAGCAACATAGTAAGTTTTCACGGCCAGTCTGGATTACTCTGCCTCAAAAAAAATTTTTTTAAGGTGCTGGAGAGATGACTTATCAGTTAAGAGCACTGGCTGCTTTTACAAAAGACCTAGGTTCAGTTCCCAGAACCCATGTTAGCTAAAAACCTTCCGTAACTCCAGTTCCAGGGGATCCAACACCCTCCAAGGGCATTGCATATTGCATGCACATGATACACATAAGTACATGTGGGCAAGTCATTCATGCACATAAAATAAAAATAAGTAATTTTTTAAGTAAACCAAAAATGTTTTAGAAAGAAGAAAATGAAGACGAATACAAAGTAAGCCGTCCCTAGTCCCACCACTGAGTTAATCAAATTTCGGCATACTTGACAGTCCTCTCAGATTGTTCTGCATATGTGTAGGACAAACAGTCCAATTGTTCTAATAAACATGGGGGTCTATATCATTTCTAGTGTTCTTTAGTTTGCTTACAGGAATAAGTATATCAATTTATTACATGCCTAAAGTATGGAAGTGTTATATTTCCTGCTGGTCCTGTTGTTTCACATGGGGCAGTACATCTGATATCATTTTTTAAACTATTTCAAAAACTTTGATATTTGGACATGGTGGCACATGCCTGTAATCTGGCACTAGGGAGGTGGAGGCAGAAGAATAAGCAGTTTAAGGTCATTCTTGTCTACATAGCAATTTGAGTCCAGTATAGTCTGCATAAGACCCTGTCTCAACTTCCCTTCCCCACCCTTCACTTTTCATTCCCAGAAAAAAAAACTTCTTAGGAGTTCACTTATTCCTGGAAGGATACATAAAAAATGTGCACACCTTTAGTCCCAGCACTCAGGAGGCAGAGGCAGGCAGATTTCTGTGAGTTCAAGGGGCTACAGGGAGACCCTGTCTCAAAAAAAAAGACTCCTCCCCAAAGAAATGCTGTCCTGATTGCTGCATAGCAGATGATGTGGGACTTTTGTAGTGTTGTTTTTTTTTTTTTTTTCACTTTATGCTTAGTTGAGTCTTCTTTTTTTTTTTAATTAGAAGCAACGTAATGACAAAAGGGAGAACTAACTAGATGGTATTGGAGTACATTGCTTATGGGGAGAGGAGATTAGATGCAGGGAAACTGAGATCTGCCTGCCTCTGCCTCCCAAATGCTGGGATTAAAGGCATGCGCCACCACACCCAGCAAAAAAAATATTTGTTTTTATTTTATGTGTATGAGTGTATTGCCTGCATGTATGTGAGTGCACCCGTGTCGTGCAATGCCGCAGAGGTTTGAAGAGGGCTTCAGATTCCCCTGGAACTGAGGTTAAGGACTGTTTATCGTTGCCATGTGGGTGCTGGGAATTGAACCCGAGTCCTCTGCAAGAGCAGTGAGTGCTCTTAACCACTGAGCCATCTCTCCAGCCCAAGTTTTCCAATTTTTACTGCATCAAAAATTACCTTTCTTTAGGTCTGGTGAGATGGCTTAGTAGTTAAGAGCACCTGCTACTCTTGCAGAGGATCTGCATTCAGTGCCCAGCACCTACATGGCAGCTAAAAACTCTGTAACTCCAATTCAGGAGATCTGATGCCCTCTTCTGGCCTTTGTGGGCACCAGGCACACATGTATACACATAAAATAAATTTGTTTTTAATTACCTTTTTTTCAAGATGTGGTGGTGCACACCTGTAATCCCAGTTCTAGGAGGATAAGGCAGGATTGGGAGATGGAAGCCAGCCTTGGTTACATGAGATATCCTAGCTAAAAAAGAAGAAAGGAAGGAAGGTTGTTGGTTTTTTTATTGTTTATTTTTTTGCGGGGGAGGGGAGTGTTTGTTAGAAACAGGGTCTTGCTTTGTAGCCCACACTGGCTTGGTACTTGCAGCAGTCCTACCTCAGCCACTTGAGTTTTTTAAATTATTTTTGGGTGGGAAGATGTTTTGTTCCTTTGAGACAGGATCTCATATAGCCTAGGTTGGTCTCAAACTCACTGTGGCTGAAGGTGACCTTGAACTTCTAACCTCTGCACCTGCCTCTCAAGTGCTGGGATTATAGGCACTGATATGTGCCACCACACCCCCTTTTAAATTACTTTTTTGGTCTTTTTTTTTTTTTTTTGTCCTTTTGAGACAGGGTCTCCTTGTAGCCCCAGCTGTCCTGGAACTCACTATGTAGACCAGGCTGGCCTTGAACTCACAGAGATCCTCCAGCCTCTGCCTCCCAAATGCTGGGATTAAAGGCATGCGCCACCACACCCGGCTTTAAATTACTTTTTATGAAGCAAATCAGTGTATGTGTATTACTCAGAGACATATTTGCATACAGATCCAGCTGTCCTACCACACTTTGTCTGAGGTCACATTCTGCTTTTATAACGAAAGGAAATTGGGGCTGGAGAGATGGCTCAGTTGTTAAGAGCAGTGGCTGTTCTTGCAGAAGACCTGGGTTCAAATCCCAGCACCCACATGGCAGCTAACAACTGTAACTCCAGTTCCAGGGGATCCGATAGGATCCGACAGACTCTTCTGTCCTCCGAGGGCATTGCATGACACGGATGTACTTACCTACACACAGGCAATACACACATGCACATAAAAATAATAAATAGCCAGACGTGGTGGTGCCAGCCTTTAATCCCAGCACTTGGGAGGCAGAGGCAGGTGGATATCTGTGAGTTCAAGGCCAGCCTGGTCTACATAGTGAGTTCCAGGACAGCTGGGGCTACAGGGAGACCCAAAAATACCAAAAAAAAAATACTGAGCATGGTGGCAAATACTTGTAATCACAGTGTTGGGGAGGCAGTGACAGATGGATCCCTGGGGTTCTCTGGCCACCCAGTCTAGCCTAATTGGTGAGCTGCAGGCCAATGGGACACCTCATCTCATAGGAGGTGGATGGCATTCCTGAGAATGACACCAGGGTTGTCCTCTGGCCTCCACACACATGCATATACATGTGCATGCACAAAAAATAATGTGAATAGGAAATGCCCTTTGGGGGTGGGGACTCAGCTCAGGGAAGTCTCCTACAAGCTGCTTTGGGCCTGCTGGTCCCTGAACACCAGGTCACTTGCCTAAGTCCAAATCTAGAAGAGTGAGGAAACACTGGCCCATGGGGCTCCCTGTCCTACCCACGACTCTCTTGTCCTTAGGCCATGGATCCAGGACATCGAGGGGGCCAATGCTAAGGAGCTCTGCAGTACTTCACCAGCCAAGTCCCGGTCTATAGTACCAGCAGGTAGGTACCCCCTCAAATGCTGGAGGAGGTAGAGGTCATATCTGCTTTGAAGAGTCCTCCAGGCATTGTAGGTAGGTAGGTAGTCCTACAAACAAAAGTCTAGATAGTATCACTCAGTCCAAAGCGTCCTCAGAATTGTCATAATAGCATCAGAGCACAGCCAGGAGGGAGGGCCTGAGCCTAGAACTGCTCTGGGCACCGGCCTCTTCTACCCTTTGCCTATTCTGCCCACAGGTAAGCCATGTAAACAAGTCCAGATCCAGCCCAGCACAGTGAACACCCTGGCCTGCCCACTCCTCTCCAACCTGGCCACTCGGCTCTGGGTACACAATGGGATTCCCGTTAATGCCTCTGCCTCTTGCCGTGTGCTGCCCAATGGGGATCTGCTGCTGGTGGGCAGCCAGCAGCAGCTGGGAGTATTCCAGTGTTGGTCGATAGAGGAAGGATTCCAGCAGCTGGTGGCCAGCTACTGCCCAGAGGTGATGGAGGATGGGCTCGTGGTCCAAAAGGACCAGAGTGATGGTCCACCTGTCATTATCAATACATCACGTGTGAGTGCACCAGCTGGTGGCAAGGCCAGCTGGGGTGCAGACAAGTCATACTGGAATGAGTTCCTGGTGATGTGTACACTCTTCGGGCTTGCTGTGGTGCTTCTAGTTTTGTTCTTCCTCTACCGGCACCGGGACGGCATGAAATTCTTCTTAAAGCAGGGGGAATGTGCCAGTGTGCACCCCAAGACCCGCCCTGTGGTGCTCCAACCTGAGACCCGACCACTCAATGGTGTTGGCCCTCCTAGCACCCCACTTGACCACCGAGGCTACCAGGCCCTGTCAGATAGCTCTCCGGGAACCCGGGTCTTCACAGAGTCAGAGAAGAGGCCACTGAGCATCCAGGACAGCTTTGTGGAAGTGTCTCCTATGTGTCCCCGGCCCCGGGTTCGACTGGGCTCTGAGATCCGTGACTCTGTGGTATGAGAGCTGACTTCAGACATGGCCACCCTAGCCTCAGAGGCTGTGAATGCTCAGAAGAGTCAGCTGGACCTCTTCTCCTGGAACAAAATGGTCCCCTGCCCTGGGGAACCTGGGAGACCTTTGGCCTGTTGGCTTCAGTTAGTGTCACAGCCCTTAGGGCTTCGAGTGCCTGACTGAAGATGGGGCTGCCCTCCATGGCCTAGAGGGGCCTGCCTGGGTGGCAGAACTCTGCTCCTTAAATAAACTGAGCCCTCTGTTTAAAAGACAACTGCAAATGTGAAGCCAGAGCGAAAGAGAAGTGAGACAGCTCAAGAGGCAGTGCAGAATGATGGCACAGAATGCCTCACAGTGGAGACTCAACCAAAGTGGCTTCGTGAGCCAGAGTTGGGAATCCCTCCCCCAGTGGCCTCCTACTACCTTCCGCCTTACTCTGCTGCCACAGGCTGCCCTTTCTCACAACAAAGTCAGGATCCTGCTTTAGCAGACCCAGGACATATCTGTGGCCACTGACACCCCACCACCTCAGGGACCAGAGGGCTAGGCTGGCTCTGCAGCCCTCACCAGACCATGGGCCCAGACCCAGCTCCCGGACCTTTCTGGCCTGTATCAGGCTGTGGCCTCATGAGAGAGCAAGAAAATGTGAGCCCAGGGGAGTTTGTGACAGTGGACACCATTTCCAAGGAAGAAACTTGCCTGCCATCTTTCTTCTGTCTGAGAGAGAATATGTCCCACTCACCACCTCAGCCCTATCTTCCAATTCAAACACAGGGACTCAATGTACCCTACCTTCTCCTGTGTCCTAGCTCAACCCCCTCTTCCACTTGCCTATCACCACTCTAAGGGATATTGACACTGCCCAGCACAAGGAGCCTAAATTTATGTGGGTTTTATATATATTTTTTAATAAGATGCACTTTACTTTTTTTTTAAATAAAATCTGACAAATTAATTGTGGCCTTCACCCTTAAAGAGCTTTTGCTTTTTTGTGTGTGTATGTTTGTGTATGTATGTGTGTATGACCCGAGTGCCATCCTCAGAAACTGCACCTACCTCTTTAGAGAGGGTCTCTCATTAGCCCGGAGCTGATCAATTTAGCTAGATTGGCTGGCCAGTGAGCACCAGGGACCCTCCTGTGTCTGCCTCTCCAACTCTGGAGTGAACGTTGGTACTCAAGTCCTCATTTATGAAGCAGGTACTTTGTCAAGTGAGCTATTTTCCCCAACCTGACTTTTGCGTCCTGAATTTTGTCTTTCTGGGGCTTCCAACCCTTTTCCAGAGGCAGCTAAATCTGGTTGACATTGCTCAGTGGAGTGTGGTTCTTAGGCCTGAGAGTCTCTCAATTTACTTCAACCCCTATCCTTTGCATCCAGTTCAGTTCAGCAAGAGTAGGGGCACAGGGGCTTTTTTTCTTTCTTTTTTTTTTTACTCAAAAAAATGATTATGTGGTAAGATTGACTTTTCTTTGATGTACCATTCTTTGAATTATTTAAATTTAAAAAAAACACTTATTTTCATTTTATGTGTATGAGTGTATTGCCTGTAAGTGTACCCATGTCATGCAATGCCTGTGGAGATCAGAAGAAAGCGTCAGATTCCCATGGAACTTGAGTTACAGACAGCTATTAGCTGCCATATGGGTGCTGGGAATCAAACCTGGGTCCTCTGCAAGAGCAGTCAGTGCTCTTAACTGCTGAGCCATCTTTCTAGCCCCTATTTTTTAATTTTTTAAAACTTATTTTATGTGCATGAGTGTTATGCCTGCATGTATGTAGTATATCCATGTCATGAAATGCTTAAAGGACAGAAGAAGGCGTCAGACCCCCTGGAACTGGACTTATGGATGTTTGTTAGCCGCCATGTGGGAGCTGGGATTTGAACCTGGGTCTTCTGTAAGAACAGCCAGTGCTCTTAACCACTGAGCCATCTCTCTAGCCCCACAGTCTTTAAATTTTAACACGTGGAAACATAGTTGAGCATCTCCAAAGTAGGGATTAAGGGGAGTTCCATATCTCTTTGTACGCCTTTGCACATTTGGGGAGCTGTGGGAAGTCTGATCTCCTACTGCCCTTCTCTTAAATTAAGTGATGTATTCCTAGTAGGATCAGAGATTCCTAGAAGTCCAGCCCTGTTTCTAGTGCCACACATGAAGTCCAACATTTCTAAACCTTTATTTCTGATTAGTAGAAACAGCAATGACTACAGCAGTGAGAAGAGGGAGGGTCCTCCCCTGCCCAGGGCCGGACTCTGCAGTGCCCACTCCAGGCGGGGCCAGCATGGAAGGCCCTACACCGCAGGCATAACCTTGGCCACAGCTCAGCAGTGGAAAGGTTTTAGACAGGGTGCTGGCACTCATGCTGCCATCACAGGACAATCTTAAAGGAGCTGTACAAGAGAAGAGAGTTGGGCCTGGGTTTGCTGCTGGGAAGCAAACCCAGGACACACACACTTATCACCAAGCTACACCCCAGCCCAAGCTGAGTTTTCTGATATGAGAGGATGGTTTAGACCTATAACCAATCATACCCACTTCTCCCCTAGGACTTTTTTTTTTTTTTTTGAGACAAGGGTTCATCATGCAGTTCTGGCAGATATGGAATTCAATGTATGGACCAGACTGGCCTCAAACATGCAGAAATTCTTTTGCCTCTGCCTTTCATGTGCTGGGGTTACAGGCCTGCAACACCACACTCAGCTTAAGACCCTTCTTTGGGGGCTAGAGATACAGCTCAGTTGGTCGAGTGCTTCCTAGCACCATAAAGCTGGCATAGTGGAGGTAGAGGCAGGTGGATCTCTTGGACTCTTCAGTTCAAGGCCAACTGGTCTATGTAGCAAATTCCAGGCCAGCCAGAGACACACAGTGAGACCTTGTCTCAAAAAATAATAATAATAGGCTGGGTCTCCTGTGCATCAATTATTCCCTCTAGGAGTGTCCTGAAATATTTGAAGGAAGCACCACTCCCATCTCCCATAATAACACTCCATACCCACATTCTGGTACCCAGAATGCAAGGGGACTGCTGTCACACCTGGCAAAGTCTGGTGAACGGGAGATGACATGCTGGAACTCGGAGAGATTGATGGTTCCATCCCTGTCAATGTCCGACTCTTCCAGGATCTAAACAGAAGGCTTTAGGCTGCAGCCCAACCCTTCCCACCCAACACCCCTAGGCCCAGCCAGGAAAGTAGGCTCACATTATCAATGAGCTGCTTCATCTCAGAAGCACTGAGCCGAGTGTCCTCGCCTTCTCCCGTGAGGCAGTTGACAAGCCGACTCAGGTCTTCTCTATCCAGGGTTCCATCATCATCAAAGTCTAGACAGTAGACACAGGGAGCCAACAAGGACATACTCAAGAGTTCCATTAGGAACACATGGCCCCTCATTTCTGAGCAGAGCCCCATGAAGCCTGTGTGGGAAGGGGTGGGTTCCAGTAATCTGCTATGGTCCTTACCAAAGATCCGGAAGGCATAGTGTGACTTGATGTCTGGGGTTGCTGTGTCACTAAAGACACTCAGAAGGTCCAGGAAGTCCTCAAAGCTTAGACTGTCTCTGGTAGGGGCTGTGGAGAAGACCATGCAGATTCTCTCCTTGAAGGGGTTGGCCTAGGTAAGAAAACCTTCTGTGGATGTCACAGGATTCAGCCTGAGTGACATACTCAGCCACTCAACTGGAAACTTCGAGACGGTCTGGCCTTTAACTATGTAGTTGAGGCTGGCCTTGAACTCCTGATCTTGCCTTTACTTCCCATGTGATGTGCTTAATTACAGACATGCACCAATATGACAGACTCCCTACTAGAAACCTGAGGAAGCAGACAGCAGAACTGGCACCAGGGAGCTCGGGTTTGAAGAGGACCACCTTTGAGGCCAGGACATGGGGGCACAGGAGGGTCAGCTAAGTCAGCCAGGGAAGGGGCAGGATGCTTCCTGAGAGTCTTAACTCAGGCACAGCACAAGTGGAGGCAGAGCAGGAAGAAGGCATTCTAAGCAAAGGCAAGAAGAGCTGGTTATTTGATTTTATTATTATTTTAACTGTTAAGTATGTGTGCATGGGCATGCATGCCACTGTGCACATGTGGAGGTCAGAGGGCAACTTTTAGGAGTTCTTTCCTTCCACTTTGGGTTCCAGGGATGAAAATCAGGTCACTATGCTTATAGGTTAAGTGATTTACCCGGACAAGCTGGTTATT